TCACATAATTAAAGAATAGAACTCTCCCTCCCCCATTAGTGCAGGTCACACAGTCCAATCGAGTGTCATTGTATTGTTTTGAGAAAAAAGTCTTCGTCTTTGGCAAACACCTGCTGAAGTGTCCTTGTCTCTCACGGCTCGTATTCTTGATGTCTGGAGTCTACATTTCATCTCCCCTTTCTTCCCTGGTTCAAGCTGCAAAGCAGTAATGTTGCCACATCATAAACGCGCTTCGAGCTTCTCATGAAGGGTTGATAAGAATGAGGCTTCTTCCCAAACCACATTTAAGGAGTTGCAGAGCGTCTGAATGCAGCCAATGTCATTCTTCATGTAAGGGGTTGATCAGAAAAGAGCAAGAATAGATCTTTCTGTTGCTGAGCTGTATTCGTTGTAAGCACGTGCAACGGTGTACTCTTCTCACCCATCCATCTCTTTGTCCCCTTAGACCATTGCAATTTCCTGCTGGTTCTGCTTTAAGATCTAGGATTTGAGCCGATGACGCTCCTATTCTTCCTTCGACGAGTGGAGGGAATCGGGGAAATTCTGGAATTCAGCCCACTGCTCATAACCAGGAAGGAAGCAAGCTTTGCTGGTACAAACAGCCTTTGTCCTGTGTGCTGGGTAACAGATGTGGAAGGCCCTCTGGTGCAGAGTTGACAACCCAACTTGAGGATTGAGGCAGAGCGGTGTTCCCGAGGATCGCAATCCTGAATCTTGCAAGGCTTTCAGCGCAATCGTCCTTTCCCTCAACTGTGTTCCCCAAAACTTTGTCCTTTGGGGGGGGAGCTTTGGTAGCAAGGAAAGGTCAACAGCCTGGTGGACTGAGTCATATTTTCAGAGTTCCTGGTGAAACAAACTCCCCCTGTTCTAACGTTGTAAATTAAATTTCAAGGGTTGACTGTGCTTTCCATATCCAAACTTAGAAGTAAGGAGGAATTTCCTGACACTGAGAACAATTAACCAGTGGAACCACTTGCCTCCAGAAGTGGTGGGGGCTCCATCACTGGAGGCTTTCAAGAAGAGACCGGACAGCCACTTGTCTGAAATGATAGAGAGTTTCCTGCCTGAGCAGGGGGTTGGACTAGAAGACCTCCAAGGCCCCTTCCAACTCTGTTATTCTATTCTAAAAGCTTAAATCCATCTTGCCTTGGAGTCTAGCTCCTCTCGGCCTCATGGGCAGTGTAGTCTTTGAATTGTGGCAACGTGGATCTGCTGTGGTGTTAACGGGGTGGCTCTAAGTCGGAGGTGGCTGGTGGATTCAGAGCAATGAGGCCACCAAAGTAGTGTTCTTGTCCGGGTTGTTTTTTTTTAGTTTGTATCTACAGCGGTCTCCATCTTGCCTTAGATTCCAGCTCCTGTTATTTTGAAGTTCTATACCTACTGTTGCTAATATTTTAATATTTATTATTTTTATTGTAAGCTGCCCAGAGTTGCTTTGCAGAGTGAGATGGGGGGAGATTCCTGGATCCAGGAATAAATTGTAGTGCGGAGATTTGAAATTGCTTTGGAGAAAGCCTCTTTGAGACAGGTACGCTGTCTCCTTACCTGCCCTTGGCTCGCCTCCTCATAAAGTTCCAGTGTGAGTTTAGAACATAAACTGATTTCCTTCCCTGAGATGGTGCCTTAAACTCCTGAGGTTTAGGAGAACAATAGAGGCTGTTTTTCCATTGTTGTTGTTGTTGTTGTTTTTTGCCATGCCAGAAAGACCACCTTGGCCTACCGTCTTGTTTGCTTAACCTTTTGTGGTTCTTTCATTGGTGAGGGATGAGGGGCAGAGTATTCAGCAGGTTCTGACCGGTTCTGGAGAACTGGTAGCGGAAATTTTGGGTAGTTCGGAGAACCAGCACATCCCCCCTGTGACTGGCCCCGCCAGCCCCATTTCTTCTCTGCCTCCCATTGAGTCCCAGCTGATTGGCTGGGTCTTCTTTGGTTGCCCTGCACAGGAGAACGGAGCTGGAAAGTAGGTTAGGGGGTGGAGGTGCATCCTTGGGGAACCAGTGGGCTATCACACTCCTCGTTTCCTAGGCTTCCTTTTGGAAACAGCGACTTACGGTGGCTTGGCTGTTGCTCGCTTAAACTAAAAGACTTTTGCAATTTCTAGGGCCTGATCAGGAGGCTTGGAAATATCCCCATGTCTGTTAAAAGCATAGCTTAAAGTGGTTTTATCAAAAATTCAGCAAAATGCCTGTGATATTTTCTTGGAACTGAAGCCTTCGGCGCCCACCCCCCCACCACCTTTTTTTCCTTCCTTTTAATTTGCCTTTTAGTGGCTCTCCAGGGAATGATTAAGTGGTTGGGGAGAGAATATCAGTGATCCTTTTGCTGATGCAGTTTAATTCTTCTTCTCCATTGAGGTGGTTGAATGGACACCATTCAATTCAAAATAGAGCTGGAAGGGACCTTGGAGGTCTTTTAGTCCACCCCCCTGCTCAAGCAGGAGACCCTCTATCATTTCAGACAAATGGCTGTCCAGTCCCTTCTTAAAACTCTTCAGTGATAGAGCGCCCACCACTTCCAGAGGCAAGGAGTTCCACTGGTTGATTGTTCTGACTGTCAGGAAATTCCTCCTTAGTTCTAGGTTGCTTCTCTCCTTGATGTAGAGTAGAATAGAGTAGAGTAGAGTTGAGTAGAATAAGAATAGAATAGAATAGAGATGGAATAGGAATAGGAGTAGAATAATTTTATTGTCACTTTAACCGTAGAGAAATCAGCATACATTTCTCAGACTCTGATAACCTCTCCTTGATGTGGCTTGTAAATCACGGAAACTTCTCTCACCTTGCCCAACGCCTGATAATTCTGACTAGCCTCAGAATGAAAATGTCTCTTTCCCGTCAACCAGGATGATAGAAAACAGGCACTACAACTTTGCACATCATTTTCTCTTTTTTGAAATCCATAAAACGGAAGGGATGAAATGACCTCTTCTAAAAAAAACTCTGGCTCCTAATCTGGTTCGTTCAGATGATGGGAGAGCTAATTCAGAATCATTTTCTCCCGTGCCCCTCCTCAAGGACCCCAGATGAAGGACAAGTCATAGTTAGCGAATCGCTTGCGACTAGGAATAGCTTAAAGATTGATGCAAGATTCATGGTAGGCAGGAATGCCGAGAGACTCCATCCAGGCTGCTCCTTCTCTGCCGTCCCCTCCTCCTTCCTTGGTCCTCCATCGTTCCCAGCATTGGGCTCCTCTTCTCCAGGGAGTCCTCCCTCCCTTCTCACGAGGTGGCCAAAGCCTTTGAGATCCCTCTTCAGGATCTGGCCTTCTAAAGAACAGCCAGGGTGGATCTCCTCTGGGACTCACCGGTTGGATGGCCTTGCAGTCCTAGGGACGCACAGGAGTCTTTTGCAAACTGCATCAAACTAGGCGTACCCGATTCCTGCAACCATTCTTGAGTGACGCTATACATCAAGAAGCGCAGCTTCTCAGGTCAAAGTCACCTGGACTTTCCCGCGCTCAGAATATCCCCAATTTTCTCCCTTCGGCTCCCCAGTGAGATGGATGTCTTCTTCTGACATCTGTGAGCCACTTGTAGCCATGGATGTAGGTGTCCTTGATGTGTTCGCCTTGAAACTGCTCACGAAAAGGGGAAGGAATTCCAGTGCGCCCAAAACATGGCGTGAATTGCAAAGTAGAAGCTAACGTGATGGGATAAAAGAAGAGAAAAAGAAAGAGGTAAACAGGTCTTCCGTTTTTGTGCACTGGAAATTATCTGCCTTTGAGGGGTTTTTGTTTTTTTTAGTTTTGTTTTTTCCTACTTGCAAACAAGTTTCTGCTTTTCCCAAACAGACGCATAAAAGGAAACAACAGATTTGGCTGATTGTAACCTAAAAGTTTCTTCTTTCTTGGGCGGAAGGAATCTGCCCATTTTTGCCTGGTGGGAAGGAAAGGATCTGACCTAAGAGACTGGGGAGGGGAGGGGAGGGGTGTCGTGACACGAAGGATATTCTTGGGGTGTCTTTCTACCAGGTAAGGGGGGGGTCTATAGTTTTGCTCTTCAAAAAGTCCAAACCCAAAATAAAAGGCTGGGTTTCAGCAAGTCCATTTTTGAGAGGAAACCGCACCTTTCCTGGCTGTTTACCTCACTCGCCTTTCCTAAGCTCCAGCGTCATGTATGGGGAGAATTGAGTCTTTGCAGTGGGGAGGAATTTGGGGGCTGCACTGGTTCTCACAAACACCTGGCATCCTCTGGGAGTTTGCAGGGGGGACCCTTCAACTCCTCTTTCCTATTAGAGTTAGAGCTTTGGAGCACGGGCCTTCCAAGCTTTTCCTTCCTTCCTTCCTCTCTCTCACTCTCTTTCTTTCTTTCTTTCTTTCTCTCTCTCTTTCTCTCTTTCTCTTTCTCTCTTTCCCTCTTTCTTTCTCTCCCTGCTTCCTTCATTCCTTCCTTCCCCATTCTCTTTCTTTCTCTCTTTCTCTCTTTCTTCCTTTCTCCCTTCCATCCTTTTCTTTCTTTCTTTCTTTCTTCCTTTCTCCCTTCCATCCTTTTCTTTCTTTCTTTCTTTCCTTCCCTCTACCTACCTACCTACCTACCTATCCACTTTCTCTCTTCCTCCCTTCCGCCTCCTTCCTTCCTTCCTTCCTCTCTTTCTGTCTCTTTCCTTCCTTCCTTCCTTCCTTCCTTCCTTCCTTCCTTCCTTCCTTCC